TCCCAGCTACTTGGGAGGCTGAGGCAAGAGAATATTAAGATGAGGGTATAAAACAATTAGGTTACAATGTTTGCATTTGTTAGGTTAGAATTCCTCTCATAGTTGTGTCCTGCACCCAGGAGACCTGGGTTTGATTCTTAAGTGGTCCTCTTCTCAGCCACTGAGTCAAGAGATTCCTGGTTACTGAACCCTACTTGAAGGTTAGATGAGTCCTGCATTTGTTTTATTTGTTTTTTTATTGAGACAGAGTCTCACTTTGTGGCCCTTGATAGAGTGCCATGGCATCATAACTCACAGCAACCTCCAACTCTTGGGCTCAAGTGATTCTCTTGCCTCAGCCTCCAGAGTAGCTGGGACTACAGGCGCCCGCCACAACCCCTGGCAATTTTTTGGTTGCAGCCATCATTGTTGTTTGGTGGGCTCCGGGCTGGATTCAAACCCGCCAGCTCAGGTGCATGTGACTGGCACATCAGCCATTTGAGCCACAGGCACTGAGCGAGAACTTAAATTTTCTAATAGCTACACTTAAAAAGGTAAAAAGAAACATGTGAGAATAATTTAATATTACTTTTTTAACCTAATATGTAAAATATCTTCATGTCAGCATGTAACTAATACAAAAATTATGAATGAAATATTTTACATTCTTTTCAGACTACTTTCAAAATCTAGCTTCTCTCAACTCATTAGTTACTTTTCAAGTGCTAAATAGCCACTGTGGCTAGTGGTAAATATATATATATATACACACACACACACACCCCACAAACAGGGTTGAAACCACCTTCTAAGAAATTGTCCCAAGCAACCAAGGGCTAATACTTGGAAGAAAGTCATGTCACTTATTTTAGCCTGAGTACTTGGCTGAGATAACCAGGGCTGGGAACAGGATACCTCTCAGGATCCCCAGCAGTCCCCCAACCCCTTAGGGAATACTTTTCATGTATCTACCCCTTCTGAGTTGCTCTTGGGACAGAGCCTGTCTGCACAGCCATCTGTCAGATAGACCAAGAGGGTGCGGCCTGGCAGCGGGGGCAGGCTGTGCTTCACAGAGAGGTTCACAGCTATCTCCAAGGCTTGCCGATACCGGTTCAGTATCTCACTGTCATATTTCCATTGTCTGTGGACAGGAAAAACATAAGACACAGGACCCAGGGGATTAACAGCCACTTTGAGGCAGATGGGAAGATGAGAACTTACCATTCAAGCTGGTTATAGCTGTCATTGTTGTTTGGCAGGCCCAGGCCAGGCTCTAACCTGCCAGCTCCGGTGTATGTGGCTGGCGCCCTAGCTACTGAGCTATAGGCACCAAGCCCTATTTACAAATTTTTTTTTTTT